GCGCAGCTTCGCGCGACGCCTGCCTCTCTCCAAGGAGAGCGTCAGCTTCAGGCAGGGATCCCTATTTAGGCTTAGCTGACTCTTTCGCTTATTAACCAATCCGGTGCCCGCAAACTTTGTCCAACGGTCGACAGCTTATCGATAAGAGTGGGCAAAACTTCCAAAATAATTCTTTTGGCGGCGGAATTCAGTGCTTGGAGTTTGTCAAACATATATTGTCCACCACCGATTGCCTGCGAAACCACGAAAATGGGTGTCGGCCGTCGCATGAAGAAACAGGGGCCTCCTGAGCCTCTTTCCGAAGCACACTTTGCAAACCTGAAGCGCAAGAAGGGTTTGCCCGTCGACGATGTTCCCGAAGCGCCCTCCTCCAAGAAACTGAAGACTTCCAAGAAGCAATTAAAGTCGACTAAGGACAAGAAATCCGCCAATTCGAAACCCGCAACGACCAAGACCTCCGCCAAAGCGACCAATGGTGCGAGCAAGACCTCGACCGGCCTCAAGAATGGGCAAGGGCAAGGAAGCAAGCGGTCGAAGGAGGTCCCCGCTCCTGACCTCGGGTCGGATGAGGAGATGGATGATGAGTTTGGAGCTTCAGACCTCGAGGATATTGATGGTGACGATGCGGATGGGCCACAACCAGGAGACGCCTTCTTCGATTCTGGGAGCTCTGTCTACGATTCCGACCACGACGAGGCGAAGAAGGAGAAATTTGTCTTCTCCGACGATGAGGACGAAGACGAGGAAGATCGGCAAGAGAAACTTACGGCTGCCAATATCGAAGGACTTTCGAGGAAACTGGACCAGCAACTAGAGGAGGAAGCCGCGGAGAATGAAGCTGAGCTTCGCGATGGGGCACTACAGACGAACATCGAGGGAGATAAACCCCGCGTTTTGGGCGAGGAGGACGATGACGAGCTTTCTGCGAAGACGAAGAACCTCTTGGCGCCAGACCTGCAAATGCTACGGACGAGGATAACCGAGACAATTCGGGTGCTCGAAGACTTCTCGAACCTTGCCGAGGAGGGACGTAGTCGTGCCGAGTACACCAACCAGATGCTCAAAGACTTTTGTGCCTGTAAGGGTTATAATCTCAATTATGTTGTGGTTACTGACAGTGTCATCTAGACTATGGTTACAACGAATACCTCGCCGAGAAGCTCATGTACGCTTATCAGCTCCATTGCCCCCGGACGAGAAATGTGTCGCCCGACTAACTCGTGCTAGTAACCTCTTCCCGCCGAGAGAGGCATTCCTGTTTTTCGAAGCTAACGAGGTAGGTTTCCTGGATTCCGGGACGCCAAAGAGCGGATGCTAACCCTGTCCAGAGCGCCCGACCCGTGGTAATTCGCACCAATACGTTGCGGACGCATCGTCGGGACCTTGCACAAGCACTTAGTAAGTGAGGCCTGCAAAATGTGCAGATTGCCCGCTAACATTCGCTTCAAGTCAACCGCGGTGTCACCCTGGAGCCCGTAGGAAAGTGGTCGAAGGTTGGCCTTCAAGTGTTCGAATCGAAGTATGTCTACACTTATTTATCCCTGGGCGGTTTCCTGACTTGATTCTAGTGTACCCTTGGGTGCCACGCCAGAATACTTGGCTGGTCATTACATCCTGCAGGCCGCATCTTCCTTCCTCCCAGTAATGGCTCTCTGTCCCCAAGAGAATGAGCGTGTTCTCGATGTAAGTAAACCTCTGGCTTTGATAATCTTTCCTAACATGGTCCAAGATGGCAGCCGCTCCCGGTGGTAAAACGACACATATGGCCGCCCTGATGAAGAATACGGGTGTCGTGTTTGCCAATGATCCGAGTAAACAACGTGCCAAGGGTCTCATTGGCAATATTCACCGTCTCGGTGCCAGGGTATGTATTCTCATCGCACCAGCGGACCGAGACTGACTTTCTTAGAACACGATCGTATGCAACTACGACGCCCGGGAGTTCCCACGTGTCATGGGCGGGTTCGATAGGGTGCTACTTGATGCTCCTTGCTCAGGTACCGGAGTCATCGCCAAGGATCCGTCAGTCAAGACAAACAGGGACGAGAAAGACTTCATGACGCTGCCTCATACACAGAAGCAACTGCTTCTAGCGGCTATCGATTCTGTTAACCATGCCAGCAAGACCGGTGGTTATCTTGTCTACTCGACGTGTAGCGTCGCAGTTGAGGAGAAGTATGTTGACTTGGAGACCCATAACAATCGTCACTAACATGTTCCCTACAGCGAACAAGTTGTTGCCTACGCTCTCAGCAGGAGACCGAACGTCAAGCTGGTTGAGGTATGCGCCCTGTGATTGTCATTTCGGAATGGATACTAACACGAAGAAAGACCGGGTTACCATTCGGTAAAGAAGGGTTTACGTCGTACATGGGCAAGGACTTCCATCCGAGCCTAAAACTCACTCGGCGATATTATCCGCATCTATACAACGTCGATGGGTTCTTCGTCGCCAAGTTCCAGAAGATTGGACCGACACCCCCCAACGCTGTGCTTGCGAACGGCTACAAGGACAAGAATGGCAATGCCAAGGCTGCGGAAGGCGCTGTCGGCGACGAGACTGAAGTGGTGGACAAGACGCCTGTTGGAGCGGAGTGCGAAGAGGAGAAGGATGACTTTGGCGGATTCGACGACGATCAAGATAAGGAATACATGGAGCGTGCGAAGCGGAATGCTATGCGGAGGAGAGGTTTGGACCCTCGGGCGCTGAAGCAAGGCGGAAGCAAGAAAGACAAGGCCTCAGAGGGAGACGCTAGCGCCGAAAAAGAGAAGGCAAAGGAGGAGCCAGTCACGGAGGAATCCAAAACAGAAGGCAAAGAGAAGAAGACCAAGAAGGGGAGCAAGAAGAGCGGGAAGTAGTTCTAAATTAGTTCTAGGTGTAGATCTGTTCCGTACGATACCACCATACCAAGCTTGCATGGCTAGCTTTCTATTCAACCCGATGCTCTAGCCGTGGTGATGAAGATGTGGAAGTGATGCCCCTCTTGTTTCCAGCCTCAGAGTGGGCAACAGATTCATGGAGCCCACGGCACGTTTGAGCTCTTAGAGTGCCACGTTATGGAGGTCGATGATATGTCTAAGAAGGGACGAATTATTCTTGTCATTCCCACCAGCAACAGGCTCCGTCGACGAACCACCATAGCTGTGCTCGCAGGTTCAAGCCGCGCATCAATGATCCCCTCGAGCTGTTCCTCGCTCGCATGGTGTCTTAACCTTTGCAGAATTTTTTGCCAGGAAAGCAATCCCACGACGGAGACAAACAGCAACGCTGAGCAAGCAGACATACCGGACACTCAGGACACATACAAAAAGCACCCGTCGGAAGCAACATCAGAAGCCAAATTACAAAAGGCGATGAAATGTTCGTTCAATCATTGCGCCCCTCCCCACTGAGGAAAGGAGGACCGCACCCAAGATTGTTCGATTTATTCTCCGTTCTGCTCGAAAACATCGAGACTGGTCGTGGGCCCAGCCAATAAATTGGGGACCTCGCATTCGACTTAGTAGTTCCGAGAACGTGATATAATGCGTTGTGTATAATGAAGAAAAGAAGAGAAGAAGTGGAAGAAATTTTTGAGAGGAGAGGAATTTATGGGTCGCGCCGTTTGAGGCAAGCCACAGGTGTGGCGCGGCTAGTGGGTGCCGAAAAAAGAGAAAGTGGGGGTAAGGTGGGGTGGATGTCAAGCCACAATGACGACGGACCCACCTGCAATTGGAGTCGGCAGCAGAGCTCACATGCGGCATTGATCACAAGCATCGTGACAGTCAACGTCGTTTTTTGCTTACTTTTTGTTAACGAGAAGAATGGGATCCTGAGACATTTATCTAGGAGTCGACAAGATGAACGCCCAAACTGCCCCGCGTTTCCTTCTCCCCCGGTTAAGCTGGGCGGCCGGTACACCACTCACGGCGAGCGCATCGCGGGCTTCGGCGGCCTGGTTTCAGCACCACCAGACGAGCCAGCGACGCGAGCAATGGCACTCTCTACACACAGCGGGCACGCAGAAGTCGAACTCTCTCCGGTGTCCCCGGTCTCGTCCGACACAGCAACGCCTGAGCGAGATCGTCCGGAACCCGACTCTGCGACGGTCCTTCCACGCCTCGGCCATCCGACAACGAGACCACCACTTCGACACACTCAAGTTCGTACAGAGGCTAGAAGAGGAGGGATTCACGGAAGAGCAGGCCGTGGCGATGATGAAGGTGCTCAACGACGTGATTGAGGAGAGGTATGTCACTCCCTTCCTCCTTCTCCGTCCCCCCGCTAATATTCATATCGGAATAGCATCCAAAACCTCACCCGCACCATGGTCCTCCGCGAGGACGCAGCGCGCGCGACGTACACTCAAAAGGTCGACTTCGCCAAGCTGCGGAGCGAGCTGCTCTCGGCCGACAGCACCGAGTCCAACACGACGCGGGCCGCGCACGAGCGGCTGACCAACGAGATTGCCAAGCTGAGCAGCCGGTTGCGCGACGAGATTGGGCGCACACAGGCGAGCGTGCGGCTGGATCTGAATTTGGAGAAGGGGAGGATCCGCGAGGAGGCCGTGTCTCAGGAGCTCAAGATCAAGGAGACCGAGACCAAGATCGAACAGGAGGTGGCGGCGCTGCAGCAGCAGCTTGAGCAGGTCAAGTTCCAGACGCTGCAGTGGCTGATGGGTGTGTGTACCGGCTTTGCGGCGTTATTGTTGGGTGCGTGGAGGTTGTTAATGTAGGGGTTTTATCCGTATGTGTGTGTATGGGGTTAGGAGTATGGCAAGCCAACCGCAGGAGTTTTATTTGTTATCGTCAATCTCGGGTGCTTGGTGGGCTGGCAGGAGGGTCTACAATGTTGTGATCCTGTTCTCCGTGATCTCCGATCTCGACGTCTACATCTTTTATCACCATGACAAGACGAAAGTGTACCACGGACTACGAGCCCTGTACGGCGTGTTCCCATCAACTCTAGACATTCTACGGAATCCCCAACCCAGAGAGAGTGTGAGAGACAAAAAGATGATTGCGGGTTGTGTGGATTGAACACACTACCTTCAGATGTAACAATTCCCTGTTCCCCCGGAAAGGGGGAAGAGAGTATGATTGAAGTGGACTTCAGTCTGACGCTCTCCCAGATGAGCTAAACCCGCATCTCTCGGTTTAGTTTGTTGAGATTGTGGACTGCTAAATTAGTTTATTTAGGGTACCTATCTTAGGCAGTCTCGAGATGCAGGTTCCGGTGCACTGTGTTGATTTGGTGCGGTTGGTGGAGTGTTGGCGGAGTTGGGGCTGGAGTGTGCGAGTCATGTCCGGTCGGGACTAAGGTCGGGAGATGGTTGGGGATGCGCTCTTTCTCTCTGCAAGGGCAAGTGGATAACGGACAAAGGCTTGGGATGTCCCTTTGCATTGCATGGGCTTACGGCCGTGGAGTTTAGTGCTGCCCTGCTAACCATGGTGTCGAAACCTTCAGTGTCTGGTCGACGATGATGTTAGTTCTCCTATCTGCAGGCTGAGGACTGGCGAGTTGGGATGGGGCTGGTTGTGCCGGGACCAGTAATGGACCGGCAATGACGTGAATGGTTACCGGGCAAAGAGGTGTCGTACTCTGCAAGAAAGACCGCATGACGCCGTCTGGTCCTAATCAGGGCCACCGGGACGTCTAGGACGGGTCACTTTGCAACGACTTCAGGCTCATAGAAAGGAAAGTTGCTGGGCATCATGTACGTGTGTCTACTTGAGAGGTTCCTCGGGCCACGTCACGACATCCCTGTTTCTCCCGTCGCATATACAAACATACCCGCACGAGTAGGACTTCCAGAATAGTTTCAAGTCGAGGAACGCGGCTTGGATTGTAACGCCCGGGTTGTAAATGATCACTACAACCCTTATTCTAGAAAAGCGACAGACGTCGACCACTGGGTTTGCACGTCATATGTCGAGTCTGATCTAGTGGTGTGGAGGGAAGGAGCGTTCGCGAGGGAGGAGGCACCTACCCAACGGCCAACCGCAGCGACTGGCATCTCCACTGGGGCCAGGAAAGGCTGCAGAATTCCTCAACACTCTCTGCCCAGCAATCCATCGGCGGCTCGAGTCAAATTAGCATTGGGTTGATTGTGGCAAGCTCCCGGCACCGGAATAAACACCAGAAGACAGCATTGAAGAGAAACTGTGACCTCTCGCCGGTCTAGTTGTATTATCTACAAGACCCAAAGGACAGAAATATGTAAAGGCAGCTAGCTAGCCCAGTATCTACAGATGGTGGCAGCAGCGCCGTGATGCTGAAAGGCAGGCGTCATCGTCGATTACAGCCGCCGAGGGTTGGATGCCGAACAAGGCCCGAGTTCGAGATTATCAAGCGAGTTGACAACCAACACCGAAAGAAGAGATCAAAAGAAAGAAAGGACAATGCGGGTTGGCCCGACTATCCATGGTGGTACCAAGAGATTGAACCTATGTACAGAGAAACGAAAGAAGAGATTGTCGCCAACGATCAGCCCAGTTGGGAGGCTTGGAAGTACAGGTTGAGCTCGAAACTTCGAAGGGAGGTGCTGACGTCTGGAAACGAGAAGCGAATTAGTGACCGAAGCAAAGAAAACGAGATCAACAACGCATACCTAGTCGGAGTAGGATTCGACGATGCTGCGGGCAAGGTGGTAGACGGCATCAAGGTCCCGGTTGGCAATGGTGCAAGCGCCGCCCGGAGTATGGCAAGCAGCCTCAGCGCTCACGTCGCGCTTCCAGCAGGCTTGGCCGCGTCTGGTGCAGCTGCGCTTGCTCACGTCCACGTTTGCGTCGGACTCCTCATCCGCCGCATCGATCGTCTTGACCACGGCCTCGGCCGCCCGCTTGGTCTTCCAGCACGACTGTCCGGAAATACCGCACGACCGCTTGTCGACTTGGGCAGCCTCGGGATCGGCCTGGAGGTCTCGCTTCCAGCAAGCTTGGCCGCGTCTGGTGCAGCTGCGTTTGCTCATGTTGACCGCAGGGTGGAACTCGTTCTCCAGCCCGAGGCCGGCGTAGAAGGCGTCGGGGTCGTCCTGGCCAGCGGCGATGGCGAGGGCGAGGGCGTCGATCTGGCTCTTGGCGACGACAGCGGCCTCGCTGTCTGGATCGGAGGGGGTCGTCAGGCCGCCACTCGTCTTGATGGCGTCGGTGAAGGCTTCCGTTGCACGCTTGACCTTCCAGCAGGATTGGCCGCGTACCCAGCAGGTGCGCTTGTCATCCTGGTGCACGGGAGTTGCGGCGCCTTGGACCGAGGAGGCGATGGCCACGAGGGCGATGGAGATCAGGCTGAGCTTCATGTTGTGATTTCTGGGATTTCTTCGAAGGAGATCGGAAGATTGTCGAATGAGTGACTATGAAGTCGAAGTGAATGACTGTAGGAAGTCGAGTATATGGGTTTTTCTCTTCAAGATGGTGAGAAACGAGGAGGAAATATGTGCATGAGAAGAAAGGTAGTGAAAAGAGAGTCATGATGCTGAACAGGATGGGAACAGAATCTTTTATACAAGAATTGGTGGTGTGTTATTCAAGAGGTCTGGCTATGGTGCTGGGTGGTGGTCAATTGTCGTGGTCCCTGAATAGTGAGCCCACCGCAGCAGACTCAGGGGGTCGAAGCGTCCGACGTCTGAAAGACTCGGATACCTCGCGACGAGGCACGGCTCCGAATCCCTCGGGGGCGACTGGGCGGCCCTCGACTTGTCGAGTTTTGCCGTTGAGTAGTCATTATTTCTCCCTGTTCCCCATGGAAAGTTCCGTCTGTAAGACCCTTGAATTCATCGAGGAAGCAAGAGACTGCTCGCTATTCAGGTATAGAAGGGGTAATTTCCCCTTGTGCCATGTGGCCAGGAGCCGTTGAGGCTCTTCATTCTCTAAATCTTTTTATGGATATGATGAAGGAAAGAAGGGCAGATCAGATCTAAGGCGTTCAAGAAAGATATTGTATCCGATCTTGTTTGACTCGGAAGTTATTGGTCGACACGGCTCGGGTACCTGGCGGCGTTGTGTGTGCCTGATGGGGGGTTGTACCTAGGTACCTTACCATTGCGTGGGTGGTGGAGCCCCCTATTCAAAATTGTTTATTCAGATCCCGATTGGGAAGGACAAAAGAACGTGTAAGTTTTGCAAGGGTCCACAACCACAAAAAATCGGCGTGGGTCAGAATTTTGCAGTGCGTTTTCTGGCGCTATGGAGGGATTAAAAATTCTATCGTCGAATTTTTTAGAGTGTATCATCCATTGCACTACTTGGGTTGGCTTGGTGCCGGTCAGATATCATGGCTCCGGGCTGGGGAGGCGACTCCAGCCTCAGGGTCCCTGCGGTTTTTGGATCGATAAAAGCTGTCGGATAGCAAATGCGGCTAATGAACATTTGTATTCAATTGCGAGATTCTGGGGGAAAAACTGGAGCGTCTGGGCACATGTCTTCATTTTTTTTTCTATGCATTACGTTCCGGGATTCCTGAACTCCTTGCCCGGGATTCAGTCTAGTCAAGGACAACCACCCAAGCGCCCAACAAATATCCTGCAGAAGCGAAGTGACGTTGCTCAGATTCCTACACACCCGTGCCACCTCTACAAGACAGATTCGGACATTTTCCCTGAGAGATCCTTCCATCCGATCTACCTTTACTTCCACGCGCTTCGTCTTGTTCTTCTCCTTTCTTAACCCCTTCCCTTGTTTCTCTCTGATTTTCTTTAGTCGTCTTTGATGCGCATCTCGGCCCCGAACGAGCCCATGTGGCTATCCGCTCGTCATCTGAAACAAGGAAAGGGAACTCCCGAGGACTAAAGTTAGTTTGAAAGGGGACCGACACGTGGGGCGGCTCGGGACTCGGGGACACGTGTGTTGGCGTCATGGCCGACGAACCTCGAGACCATATCATAGATGAGATCATATGAATTTCCTTTGTGATGTCGAGTTATTAGACCCAGAACAGTCGGGGGCCCGGCGACTAACTTGACTGAGCAAGGCAGGGCGGCCGCGCGGCCGGTCAGTGGAACAAGGCGGGATGTGTATGCAGGGCGCGATTTGGATGATGTAATATGAGCATATTCGAGTAGTTCAATATTATCGCGGAGATTTGGTTGGTTACCTTAACATTCTGGGAATACTTTTAAGAGAAAATGGGGGTGAGTTTACGGGACCGTGCCTTTGATCCTACCCACTTCGTGTACGTGCTTTTTTTCTTTTGTAGTCTTAGTTTAGTGAACCTACATGTGGGTAGTAAAATGCCCCCGATGCAGGCCGAGAGCCTGGAAGCGTGGTTCTATTCTGAGAAGTGGATGGACGGTGGAAGATGGATCGGAACCAATCTAACAAAAGATTGCCACCGTTACCACACGCACCTGCTGCACGCTGTCGCCTAACTGCAGCAGTCCTGCCTGGCAAGCAGGAGATTGATCCATGAATGGGATGGCAAGCTTCTGGAACATCTCAAAAATGTCCCAACCATAACCGCCACGCAGCGGTCCAATTTGCTGTGCTGCCTAACACGCATGAAAACACACCTAGCTTTCATGCAAGCCCCGAGAAATCCAGTTTCCCTTGGGCTAGTTTTCATCATCAAACTCATCACTCAGGTGGAGAAAGCATCAGTTTACTGATCCTCTTGCCTGTACTGGCCTCCTCGCCCGGCGCAGGAACCAAAAAGTCAGAAAACGAGCTCCCGACTTTGGGAGGCCAAGGAGTCTCAGCAGACTCCCCATCTAGCGGATCCAGCGGCTCCTTCCTGAAGAGCGCCTTAAACCGCGCGATCCGCTCGCACCGGGGACAAACACTGGGACCCTCCCAGCGCGGCGTCTCGCTGAGGTACGGACAGCGCTGTCGGCCGGGCAGGGGCAACGGCAGCCGATAGCGGCATCTGTTGAAGATTTGCCGCGTATCGTGGCCGCAGTCGTGCTTGAATACGATTTCCTCACACATGTTGGATGAGTGATGGTAGATGATGAGGATGAAAGGTGGATAAAAAGACGGGAGAGAGGGCGAGTTTTATAGTTGTCTGGATAGAGGAGTTACCTGCCTTCATTTGGAAGGAATCTGCTGTTCACAGGAGGGCGAACCTGTGCAGCCGACCTCGACTATGCCGAATCTCTTTGTCGGCATGTTCCGAAAGACAAAGAAAAAGACAATAGCCTTGTTGGTTCATGGC